AGTCTCCAACCATTTTGAACATCTCAAAAACTGTTTGTACGGACCTGGCGTAACACGGGTCTAAATTGTTACTCGCCAATTGGTTTATTCTGTCAGAGTTAACATCGAGTGTCCCTGCTTCATGTTAGCTTTCATCAGATATTTTTTACTTTTAACGATTTAAAAAGCATAATTCTTTCTTATACGCCTAGTAAACCGTAGAGATCAAACTCTTTCGATTACTCAGATAGAAAATATAATCAATGCAATTGCAAAATTATTTAAATATGGACGTCACTTTTTACGGTGCGAGTAAACAAGCTTTAAAATAAAGAATGGCTGCCATCCTGAAATTATCAGTATCTTGAAACCCTTGCTTGTAAGGAATTAATATTTCATTAACATCAACAAATTGAATGCAAATTGGAGATAACTCTTACCATAGTTATGTTATAGACTGATCCCTCACTTGTGACCGCAATCAATTCTAGAAATTTTTATATACCAGCGATAATGGTGTAAATCAATGTATTCTTTTTGTCGGCTATTAACATTTGATGAATTTAACAAGTGCAAATGACTTTATGTTTGTTTTCACTATCCACACCACATAAAAAATTAATTCATGGATCTCTAAAATAATGTACTTACTTTTGTGATGTCAACGAACACTTGTTGACACTTTTGTAGTGTCAACGAATACTCGTTGTCACTTTCGTAATGCTCGTTGTAGTAGAGACTTTGTAATCGCAGATACAACTATAGTAACGTCGTTGAATAATACTGGTGTCAGACGCCTTCGCACTAATAGTACTTGCTCGATAATGCTCGCTCGCAAAGTAATCACCGAATAGTGATCAGTATAGAGAATAGTGTAGTGGACAGAGTAGAGAATAGCGATCCATATAGTAATAGAGGATGGAATAGAAAGAATGATCATTTAGACGTCACGATAATTCCCATATATACATTTCCTTTACGATCAGTGGTCTACTTATTACAAATGGTATCACCTGTGTTTGTTCACTGGTGATCTGTGTTCAAACTCCAGTGTCGGCAGCGACACTTTATTCATATAACCTAATTGGCAAATATTTTGTTAATCAATGGGTTTCTGATGTAAATTCACATTAAAATATAAACCATCACTATTTTCGCGTTTGTTAATTAGATTTGCTTGTTATATACATGGAGTAATCGAGTCCAAAGTTTTTGTCCATTAATGAAAACTTTTATATATTGTTGCTTTCTGTTACTCGGTAAGTTTTAACTATATTTGTTCCAATAATTTTGTTTAACAGAGATATACACACACGTACACATTTCTTTTAATTATGTTTTTAATTACACACAAGAGAGCATCTGTATAGATCAAGTGAGTGTAAGTAGTGTTCATCCTTTGATTAATTGCAATCAAATCAACGTATGACTTGTTAAAAATCAACTTTACACCAGATGGAAGTCAGCATTTTCAGTTTATCAAAATCAAGCGTTTCACCATTTATGTTGATGGGTGGCTTCAATAGAATATATTAGACTGTATTCAAGTGTTTTCATTTTTGAAACAAATTGGGAGGAGTAATGAAAAGTGAATACTTTACAACATAGTGGAAAAGAAGAGATTACGCGGCAATACAAATGATGGAATTAGAATGTAGTTATTTACTACGAGTTTTTTTTAAGAATAAATGAGAATGAATTCATCTACTACGAGCTGTTTATATGATGGAATTAGAATGGAGTCATCTATAAGGAGCTCCTTCAGGAAAACACTTTCAACACACCATTTCCCCTACTGAATAAGGCGAGATTTATGATGGGTGCCAGATGTTTTATGTAAACGGATACTCTTACAGCGACACACACACACACACACACACACACACACATATATATATATATATATATATATATATATATATATATATCACGATCACAATCACGAATCCCGTGACCCTTGGGGTCGTAGAGGCACCGCATATACTTGAGGCGCTTTAGAAGTGGTGTTTCTTGAGCAAGATAGACTGGCGGATACCAACCTTCTCCAGGACGGTTGCCATAGAAAGCTATAGAACCCAGCGTGTCCTGCTATTTGTCGATAGCTGGGAGAAGAAGAGGATTCATACGTTTCCCAAGGGTATTCGCATGCAAGTGATATATATATATATATATATATATATATATATATATATATAGAGAGAGAGAGAGAGAGAGAGAGAGATAAACAAGTTTTATTAAATTCCACCAACAAGGTCTGACGATTTAACATTTTATTACATCTTTCCAATTTATGAATGCGATGTTGTACACCAGGATTATGAGCAAATTGGCCAAATTTCATGTCTTTTTTTTCTTGTTATATTGAAGCATTTTCGACTATCGTAGCCACTGTCAACGAACGGGTGTTATCAGCAGATTATTTGAATTCGAGGTAACATCAATCAGTATTTAGTCAAATAAATGTTATTTAGCATACTGATAATAGACGATTTTGACAATGACTGTGATAGTCGAAACTAGATAGACTGGACTGGTAGAATTAAAAACAAAACGTTTGAATTAAGTTTGCTGCCTAAATACGCATATATATATATATATATATATATATATATATATATATTACGATAAACGTGCAACAAACAAACAATTTTACAAATTCATGAATTATTCACAAAAACCTAATGCAAAAAATATATGATTGTTGATTTAAATTTCATTGAAAATGAGTTCCATTTTGGAGCAAACAACGCTCAAATAATCAATACAAAACCTCCGAATCCGTTATTACTAAGAGAAAACAAGAACAACATCTATTCTATATTGATGATGTCTGAGGAACAGATTCTTATTTTTTAAAAATAAGAACTAATACGGCAGAAATTTATATAAACAAGGATCATCAGGTATAGAATAGATTCGGAGGTTTTGTATATTATTTGAATTGTTTCTGATGATGGATTAGCCAATTAAATCATTAATTTTTGCATTAGTTTTTGTGTGAATAATTCATGAATTTGTAAATTGATTGCACGTTTATCGTAATTTAAATAACTGATCCTTTTGGATAATAATGCGACTAATTATAGAACAAATAGTTCATGCCACTTTTGACAGAAAATTTACCAGTAAAAAATTTGTTCATCACCATATTTTATATGAACGCACAACCTTTAAAATTTAAAATCAAACTCAGCGGTTTACTGCGCGCTCCAAAAACAATAATACATTTTCAATAGCATTTTTTACATATATTTTCGTTGTCCTCTTATTACTAAGAAAAAACAAGAACAACATCTATTCTATACCTGAAGATGTCTGTAGGAACAGACGAAAGCTTGTAGTAAAAAATAAGAACTAATACGGCAGAAATTTATATAAACAAGGATCATTTCATTCATAACGGATTCGGAGGTTTTTGTATATTATTTGAATTGTTTGCGATGATGGATGTCTCGCCAATTAAATCATTAACTTTTGCATTAGTTTTTGTGTGAATAATTCATGAATTTGTAAATTGATTGCACGTTTATCGTAATTTAAATAACTGATCAAAGTGCGACTTTTGGATAATAAGTGTGACATTACTGTAATTATAGAACAATATAGTTCATGCCACTTTGACAGAAAATTTACCAGTAAAAAATTTGTTCATCACCATATTTTATATGAACGCACAACCTTTAAAAATTTAAAATCAAACTCAGCGGTGCTACTGCGCGCTCCAAAAACAATAACTCATTTTCAATAGCATTTTCGGATACAACAATACATATATTTTCGTTGTCCTCTTATTACTAAGAGAAAAAACAAGAACAACATCTATTCTATACCTGAAGATGTCTGTAGGAACAGACGAAAGCTTGTAGTAAAAATAAGAACTAATACGGCAGAAATTTATATAAACAAGGATCATTTCATTCATAACGGATTCGGAGGTTTTTGTATATTATTTGAATTGTTTGCGATGATGGATGTCTCGCCAATTAAATCATTAACCTTTGCATTAGTTTTTGTGTGAATAATTCATGAATATATATATATATAAAAACAGAAATTTGACTCCACAGAACATATACTTCGATTTAAAAATGCAAGAAAGTATTCTTATTTCTTAAAGGTCCCTTTTCAACCAACACATTGTCAGAAGAATACGTTGGTAAATATTAACTGACCAAAAAAACACAATTCGCACTAGCTTTTTTGATCCTATATTTCCTACTTCCTCGTTTTTATTGATAAGTTTTATTAATAAATTTGTATTTTAGTCATGGTTTCTTTTTCTCCTCCTTATATTATCTTACAGTGCGATTTGTTGTGTTTTTGGTCAATTAATAGTGGTAGTGACCACTATACACAATTATGTTTTTAGGACTATAAAATATACTGCGTATCAAAGGCTGCTAGTATTGACTTGATGCACCGTCGAAAATTCAGTGAACACCCACCACCACCTTGCGATTTCTCGCATTCAAGCAGCAAGTAAACAAGTTAATGTCATCTGTGAACTTTTGGTATCTCAAAGTAGGATCAGTCGACTTGTTTCTAGAAATCAAGCAACTGGGACTGCCCGTTAGCAGCCACTTCCTGATGTTCCACGTGATATTGACTGTAATGACGATCAGTACCTCAAGACCTATGCCCTGCACCATAACCATTCAACTGTAACTCAATTTCCAACTGGTTTGAAAGCTACCAGGAGGACAACAGTATCCTGTCAGACAATATGCAACCTGATTCATCGTTTTCGATTACATTTTGATTGACTGATTCCTTTTCTACGGCTTATCAATGCTTTGCGTTTTATTTAAGGCCAGAAAATTTTTAGATTGTAAGAAATTTTGGGGAAGATAAGATAGTGTTACAAGTCTTACTAATTAACCTATAGCTGGGGGAGAAGAGGTGGGTTCACATTTTTCCTAAGATTATTTGCGCGTAAGTGAATATAACAAATCCAACTGGAATTAAAACTCTCCGATTAGCAATTCCAAGTCATTATCCATTACACCACCTGCACATCCAAGCTTACAACATCTGGTATTCCCAAGCTATCATCCATCTAGATACCGATCAGGCTCGACGCTGCTTTATTTCGGTAATCGTACGGGAACTGGTGTTTCAACGTGATATGGCCGTAAGCCCTTGGATTACATGTAAAGCCCCTAAGTGACATATAATGTCATACAGCCTGCAGTGATCCCGAACGTGTGTGAAGTGAACATTGCAGCAATGATCGACTATTTTGTTTACTGATGAGTTCAGAATCATCCTGTATTAAAACTGCCATGGAAACGCAGAGATTAGAGTTATTCCGCAGTTAACAGGGTCCCAAACCATCGCGTGCAGTAGCTGCGTAACATTCTGGAGAGGAGTAAGCAGGAACAGGAAAATGTATCTGTCATCATTAATGAAATTATTCCTAGCCAATCTTACCTGCATGATATAATTAATCTCATTATTATCTCTCAGTAGCGCCACCGTCATCCAGACTTTATCTTTTTGACAGCAACTTGTATGCAACTCCTCCCCATGCTCGCAGCGTTACCGGATTTCTACAAGTGGTCGGTATACCACAGAGGGAGTGGTCAACGCACTTGAATGTTTGTGGAACCAGGTAAAATGTGTTTATGCTCGAGCTTCCCCATCAAGTGACCTTTGAGAACTAAGCACTGCTGTGGTTGAAAAGTGGGATGCCAAATCATAAAGTAATATCTGTTATTGATGAAAAATTTGAAGCACTGATCCATTTCAATGAGAAAAGTATTAATTTCTAATATTGTTATATTCTGAAATTTTGTTTTAAAACCATTAAAACAAGACTAGATAAGCCGATAAAGCTCGTAATGCAATATGATACTTTTTTATGCATAAGAAACATCCATATTATACAGACTAAAATTTAGAAACAATTAAAATTAAATTGCAAAAGTATTCCTATAGTAATCACAATATCCCTAAGTTATTGTTAGTTCTGTACAATTATATTAGGTTGACGCAAATCTTCCCTCTTTCATATTTTCAACGGTCTTAGGTAAACCTTATAAAAATTGGATAAACGTGCCCAAAATAAGACGGAGTGTCAAAACGACGTTTTTCCCATGACACCGCTATTATTTTAACTACCTTCGCTCCCCGGCAATGTTTATTGTTTTAAAAAGCGATGATTAGATTTGTAATAAAACTGAAACATATGAAAGTGAATTTATACATTTTCTTTGTTCTTGAGAATTGACAACAGGTTTGCCTAAAAATCTTTGAGATTATTTTTTTCAGGAAAGTGATAATTCTACTTAATTTTATTGAAAATCATGACTGAATATAAAATGCACATTCGATACTAAATATTCTTCATATTTAACACGGAGTAGTGTAGCAGAAACGTGACAACTGACCAATAAAGCGTATAATAATGATGCAGGCACATGTCATGAATCGATTGGGAAGTTTAAAAATAGATTTTGATCTCAGGAATAAAAAGCATTCTAAGAGAACTTGAATTAGAGGAACCTTGAAAAAAGAGGTTTTACAAAAAATACGCAAATCTACAAAAAAGAAATTAAGGGAAAATCAGTTAAGTGAAGAGCTTTTCCAAACTCATTGTTGTGACACTTGAACATAATTATCCGTCCTTTAATTATCAATTAATTTTTTTGTCCCATTGCTTCTTTTTGTTTCTACGCATTTTTTCAATTATATTCGCTTGGCTAACAAGAGCTGAGTAATTTATAAAAAAAATGTATTTAAAAAAAAAGTGAGTCGTCAATTCTGAATGTTTGGAAAGCTCTGGTTTTGTGAAATATGGGTTTTAGAACTTTAAGAAAACTTCTTGAACAAGGAAAATGAGTTGCACATGAGATGAATACCATTCAATGCTGTTTACATTTGTCTCCCACTTCTTGCTTGCAAAACACATTTTTCGATAAGATAATGATTTTATTCCGGGAATTCAAAATGAAGAAAATAGTGGGACGGGATGCTTAAGAAGATCAAAGTAATATAATACTTTGAATCAAAACCAGAATCGTTTTCTGGTGAAATCCAAAATTTAGCTGCAATGTTTTGTTAGGTAATTCAACACCAGGGTAAATACTCTGATAACTGAATAATAATATAAATTGTTACGAAATAATGATGCTATGAATTGATACGAAGTAATGATATTACGAATTGATACGAAATAATGATACTACGAATTGATACAAATAAAAGATTTTGTTAAGGAATGCTGGAAAATTTTGAATCCACCTAATATTTAACTATAATTTCACAATACTTTAATGGATGTAAATATGCATGTCTTAAATGCAACTATTCAAAGAACTTAATATTAAAACAAAACCCAAGAGATGATTAGAAGTTAGCAGCTTTCAGTGTGAGGCAAGTTTTTAATGAGGGTCCGTAGCGAAGAGAGTGATTTTGGATCTTTGACGTGTTACATGTTTATGTCTTCCCGGGACATCTGAAAAATATCTGCTAACTACTAGACATATTTTTCAATCAAGACACTTGCAAACAACACGATTATTTTTCAGTTCAACTTGAAAATTATTACTTAGAATTTTTGCAAGCATAACACTCTTTTGGAAATCGATATTACCTTTATTCCTCTTTGGGCAGCTGCTCTAAAATGAGGGTTGGTATATTCATATTGCAACTCGTTGTTAACGAGTTCGATCCTTATTATGTACCCCACTATAGAGACCATATGTCAGACTCGTAATTTAAGCCAACTAAATATATTTGATGCTTCTTCTAGAGCGGTGTTTAGCAAATGCAATATTCGAGCTATCGTTGTAAATGATTGCTCAACTCTTCCATGATTGTGATTTATTAAATAATTAAGTGAAACTGTGCTAAAATTGCAAGGTATTGTGTTCACAGTTTTGTTACTTGCAAGATGTTTTTGACAGCAGTAAAGTTATTCGCTAAAAAAATGTTTCTGTAGAAACAAGTGTTTCAAGTAACAAGGTGACTACAAAGTTGTTCTTCTTCTATGTGACATATCCAATCAGGACGTTGGCGATCATGGCTCCTCACTATTTCTTGTCCTTTGTAGCTCAATAAATTTTGTTATCTCCCCTAAATCTAAAAATAACGCATAACCCACCTAGTGAGCTCTGCCATCCGTTTACTCAAGCTCACTAGGTGGGTTATGCGTTATTTTCCTCTGGCCCTTCCAATCTGCCCTGTGAATATCAAATTTTCCATGTCCTCTTTCTTTATTATGTGTCCTAGAAATTTCAACTGTCTCTTTCTGATATTAAATGTGTCCTTTTTGTTCACTATTTACATTATTCGGTCCTCATTTTTTTCGCCATATTTATTACAACTTTTCGGCCGTTGTACACTCCGGTCTTCTTCAGGTGGATGTCAGTTATCAGTTATCTCCTGTTCATCCCAAGTTCTCCACCGGGTATCGAACTCACAATGGGTCCTGTCACTGGATCTAACTAACGCCTTTATCCACTGTGCCATGTGTCCTTGAGGTATGAATTTCTTGGTATTATAAACCTAATGTCTTCAACAGATTTTTTATCAGTGCTCATATTGCAATTTTTGCTGCTATCATTTCATGTTTTTACCAGAGCTCATATTGCAATTTTTGTTATTATCGCTTTTCTCTGGCATTCCTTATTAATGGTGCGCATATTGTATTCATTTCTATGTTTGGTCGGCTCAGAAGATTTTTGTGACCTAGCATATGTGATGATTCCTTAAGTTTACAAATTTTCCAATGATGTTCTGTGTCTATGATATCAACCTGATCCCACAGAGGGCGGCGATCTCCCTTCTCTCTCCATATGTGGTCAGTCACGCCTGATTTTTCCACTTCCCTTCGTGTTACAGCTTTCTGATGTTCTTGAAGCCTTACCTTAAGGAGGCGGCCTGTCTTCCTTTTATATTTCTTTCCGCAGCTGCACGGGATAGCGTACACACAGTCTTTAGTCATGTTCTCCTCTATGGTGGATGGGGGTCTTACTCGGGAGAGATATCTGCGAAGTGTCGTCAAGCTTTTGAAGGTTGTCCTGATGTTATATGGACTGCAGATTCTTTGTATTTTCTCTGATAACCCCTTTACATAAGGCAGGCAGACTGTTTTCTGAGTGTTGTTCTCCTCCTCTTGTACCCGCCTATCCCAGTTTTTGTGGCTGCTGCCATGTACCCAGGGTAGTTGTTACCTTGTAGAGTATTATTTATACTGATCAATTCTTTATCTAATGTCTCTGGGTCGCCACTTATGACTTTTGCTCGGTTTTGTAAGCAGCGGACGATCCTTTTCTTTACGCTGTACGGATGTTGGGAGTTGAAATTGAGGTACTGTCCAGTGAATGTTGGTTTACGATATACAGATGTCTTGAAACCATGCTCTGTTCTAGATATTAGAACATCCAGAAATGGGAGTGCGTTGTAACTCTCTTTCTCGATCGTGAACTGTATCGAAGGTTTTATTGAGTTCACATGGTTCAGTAGAACCTGAACATCTTCCTGGTGTGGCCAGATTATGAAGGTGTCAACTACATACCTTAACCACAGAGTTGGCTTTATAGATATAGATTCTAATGCCATTTCCTCAAAGTATTCCATGTATATATTCGCCATTGCTGGTGATAATGGCGAGCCCATTGCTAAGCCCTCATCCTGTCGATATATCTGTGATCCCATTCCGAATGTGTTGTTTTTGTACAGATAGTCAACATCTCCATCAGATTATCTATTGGAATACTGGTCCGTTATTCTAAGGCTGAATCCTTTTTGTTGATTAACCGATTTCCTCTACTCTCTGTTATGTTATCCTTGACCAAAAACTCATTGTCTTATACAGGTTGTAAACGGTCTCGTTGTTAAATGTTATGCAACCGGGACACGAGTTCCTCGGATAATATATTTATATTGTCTGGTATACTCTAAAATTTCTGACTGAAAATACAAGTTTCGTAAATTCGAATGCAGATACAAGAATCAGTATATGCAAGAAACAAAATCAGTTTCTATCTTCTTTTATTCTGGCAAAAGAAGGAAAATTACTGAGAGAATATGGCCGAATTATACTTATTCTGGAAAAACAACTTTAGCTGTCGTATGCAGTGACGGACCTACATTTTTTGTGATCCTGAAGAGATAGAGAGAAGACCTTTCC